CACCCAGACCAACCCCCCCATCCCCCCACCAAAACCAAAATTTTATTGCAGATTCGGGGTCCTCTCGCCGAGCGCAGAACGACCCCGGTTTCAAAAAATAAATAAAAAAAATTCTGGGCGGTTCTTTGTCCTGCCCGGTTTACCCGGGCGGCCCCCCCGGGCCCAACCGGCTGGGCCCAGCCCGGCAGGGCAGGCCCGGCCGGGCGGCGTCCTCACTCAGAAAAAAATCGAAGATATCCGAAAGAAACTATGTGATGCAGAAAAAATTGAAAAATAGACTGAACAACTTTTGCCTCAGGGTGACATCAAAATTCTCTACCAAATTTAAGATTAAAAAAAAAATATATATGTATTTAGTATTACAGTACTATTACTACTACTATTTATGTATATATTTTTGGCCCAGCCGGGTAAGTTGCCCCGGGCCACTCTGGTAGCCTAGAAAAAATGTAAAAATGGAAAGATTTTATTCGTTTTTTCCTGAGGAGATATCCCCTCAGCTTTTTTCCAGGTCTGATAACTGTCACTGTATGTAGTACTGGAAAGAAATTGAAATAGTAGTAGTAGTAGTAGTAGTAGTAGCAGTAGTAGCAGTAGTAGAGAGGTGGTTAATGGAAGGCCCAAAATTGGGTTTTTTTGCCACATCACCACAAAATTCAGGGTTTTTTGCTGCATCATAAAAACAAAAAAAAGGCAAAAATTCAGGTAAATATGACAGTTTCGGTGAAACATTGTTCCGAAAATGACACCACCTATTAACCATTATAGTGTAGTTGTGGGTGTTCTTGTAGTAGTAGTAGTAGCTAGTAGTAGAAGATTGTTTTTTTTATGGGTGTATCTATTACTCTATGTAGTACCGGAAACAAATTGAAATATATGAGTAGAATGTCCCAAAAACAAAAGAAAAAGTATTTTTGAACGCGGAAACGGGTTACTGGGGCAAAATTCCTCCGATGTCATTCGAGAGTTTTGTCTTCAGATTCCGTTGACCAGGATGCACAAGGCCTCGCTTGATGAAAATAATATATGGTATGTGTAGACATCAGAGAAGAAAGGCGAATGCCGTTTTATTTATGTATTTAATACTATTTATTTCAAACGATTTGTTTATGTATGTAAGTCTTTAAAGTATTTGTTTATTTTTTGTTCGAGCCGTATGGTCCAAAAATCATATAAAAAATGGTGAATGAAGTAGCCAAATGATGGGAGTTGTCTTTTTTATTATTTTAAGAAAATTGAAGTCATTTTTTGGTTTGGTCTTAGAGTGGAACTGTGTTGAGGATACCCTTCGCGTCACACGGTCGTGTCACGCGGCCGCTTGAGGATCTAGAAAAAGGCCCTGCATGTCACAACCTGCATGATGAGAATCCACTCTGTGTCGTGACCTGTTAGATGAATTTGTTAGGCGGGGAGTTTTGCAATCAGGCTCACTTTCTCTTCCACTTCGCATTCATGCAAACAGATGACAAGTCACACTGGGGCTCAGCGCCCACTCAAAACTCAGAGATATGGTAACCAAGAACATAGTTCAGATACAAGCTCACTTCCGATGGCTATGGCGCATCAGCGCCTGTACAACTCTCTGTTTGTCACTGTGCTCAACTCCGCTGCTCACACACACTCAACTCAGGATCACCCTAAATATCCCACACGCGACACACTGTCTCACACACACGCACACAACACACTCGCCTATCACCTACGGCGGCTATGGCCGCTCAGCCCTGCTGGCTATGGCTACTCAACCTCTACTCTGCCCATTTCGTCTTCGGGCGCTCTGCAGACCACCTCGCACAAGTTGCTCAAGCAGCGCTTCCGCATGGCTTACGCAGGAATGAATGAATGGCTGGGGTCTGCCTCTTGATTTATACTTCTGTGACTCGTTGGTCCGCTTCTGTCCACCGGGCCCTGAGTGCACACAGTCCCACATGGTACTTGCAGACTGGACTTAGTGAGACTGGGACTGGGTACCGCTGACTCAGCACAGGTGGACTCCACCACTTGCCCACTTGCCTCTGGACTGCTGTGAGCAACGTTTGAAGGGCCACTTCCGGACCTTCCGGAAGTCTGTGGACTTGGCCCTTCGACACTGTAGCAGCTATGACCTTGACCTTTCAGGACTGTAGCAGCTATGACCTTGACCTTTCAGAACTCCTACAGCTACGACTTCTAGAACTCACTAAGACTCCTACTCGACAGGTCTACAGATCGAATCCCTACGACCTACGGACCTACGACAGCCTACCAACTGCTGCGAACACACAGGTCACGGGTTCAACTCTCGGGGTCGACACAGGTACTGTACACGGGGTAAGGTGAGAACTAGGGATCGAGCCCTGGGATCTGCGTTTGGTACTGCTAACAGGTGAATACCGTTTCAGTTTGGCTGGCTAGAAAGGAAATTTTATTATTTAATTGAATGAATAAAGAGAGTAAATTAAGAAATTAAAAAGCAGTTGAACTGGCCTTTGTTTTGGTTTTCTTTTGTTTAAAAAGAGAGGAAAAAAATGACACGTCTTTTTATTTTTTTTAATGCCTGTACAAGTTGAATTTGCGTAACTATCGATGATCATGATTCTGAGAGCATGCTCACTGGAGGACTTTCCTGGAAGTATGTGGCTGCGATTATGTCTGGTCCTGGATGCATCTGACCACAATTACATCCAGAGTGCAGTAAAACAAAAAAAAAAAGCCCTTGTGGCAGTGGGCCTGTATATATTTTTTGACTTATTAACAGTGTTGCCTCCCTCTGACATATTGATGTGCGATTGCTTGCAGGGCTTTCGAGCACTCCTCAGACGTGCCAGGGCTCGAATCGGCAGCGTGCGCAGCACTTGAACGCATTTTCAACGCCCCTCTTGGTGCATCGATGCTGCCGTCTGCAATGGTAAAGTCACGAGTCTAACCAGTTAACTGCATGGTTAAGTCACTAGTTGGGTCAGTGAACTGCCTGGTAACAAAACGAGCACCAAACGAGTACCAGACGAGTACAAAACCAGTACCAAACCAGCCTGTATTCCAAACCAGTGCCAAACCGATACCAAACCAGCACCAAACCAGCACCAAACCAGCCAGTTTGAAACCGGTACCAGACCAGCCAGTGCGAAACCAGGTATGAAACCAGTACCAAACCATTACACAACCAAACCAGTAAACCAGCATGAAACCAGTAAGAAACCAGTAAACCAGTAACGGACCAGTGAACCAGTAAGAACCAAACCAGCGGAAAACCACCGCCAAAGCAGTAAACCAGTAACGGACCAGTAACAAAACGAGTACAAAGTACTAAGAACTAATTAAAAGACTGAAAAACCAGTAAAACCCACCAATAAACCACTAATACACCAGTAATAAACTAGTAGCGAACCAGGAACAAACTAGTAACGAGTAAAAAGTACTAAGAACTAGTAAAAAGACATAAAAAACAGTAAAACCCACCAATAAACCACTAATATACCAGTAATAAACTAGTAGCAAACCAGGAACAAACTAGTAGCAAGCCAGTAGACCAGTAACAAAGAAGTAACGGACCAGTAACAAACCAGTGGCAAACCACTACTAACCGGTATAATAAACCAGTAGCAAACCAGTTGCAATGAACCCAGTCTGTTAGGTACTCAGACGTCGTCAATCAACAGTAGTTTCAATATCTGTCTGAAAGTCTCCAGATCGTGAATGATATCTCGAGCAGTATCTCATTATCCAAAAAGAGAAGAGTGTGGAGGGAGAATAGACAAAGGAGAGGAAAAGAGAAAACACAGAATCCTTCAGATCCCTCTCCTTCTCTGGGCTTCTTTCCACACTATGTCATCAATGATAATAAGAATAATCCTGTTCACATACAATAGTGCCACATGGCACTTTATCTCATGAAGACTTTGAAGACACAGCAGATTTCCAGTGACGATGTCAGCCACAGGTGAGTACCCGATTCTCTACATCCACAGATCCCGATCTTCCTCTTCCTCGCAACCAGTCACCTCATGTAGACAGCGTGGACAATGCCACGTCAGCAACCAAGACAGGTTGCATACGCCACATCAACAATGTAGACCAATAGCAGCGCCACATATACCAGGAGCAGCACCACATATACCAGAGGCAGCGCCACGTCAGCATGCCACGTAGACCAGAGGCAGCGCCACATATACCAGAGGCAGCGCCACGTCAGCATGCCACATAGACCAGAGGCAGCGCCACATATACCAGAGGCAGTGCCATGTCAGCTTGCCACGTAGACCAGAGGCAGCACCACATATACCAGAGGCAGCGCCACATCAGCATGCCATGGTGCACCGTAGAAGCACCAGCGTGCCGCCTGTCGTCCGCAATGCGTGTGCACAGCAGCATAAAGCCAGCGTTGTCGAAGTCGAGCCAGCGTCATAGCAGCATAGCAAGACTGAATACTTGACTCGCTCGAGGCCAGCCTTAAGTAGCAGTCGTCGAGGCTGTCTGGCCTCAGGTGTCTTGGGGGTAGCCTCTGACTCTGGTCCCTTGTTAATGCATCAATGGGACGCTTAGGCTTCCAACCTTTATGTAGTGCATTAGGCGTTCTACCTGTAACAGTATGTATACTGTTATTATATGCACTAGCAAATTTCGACAAGTTCTCATCCCAACCAATCTGGTCAGGACCGACATACATTCACAAAAGTTGTTGGCAAAGACGATTCATTTGCGCAGTTTGGCCATTCGTTTCAGGATGTTTGCCTGACGACATGGTCAACCTGGTTCCATAGACTTCCATCAAATTTCGCCATTGCAGACTGATGAGCTGAACATCTCTGTTAGATACGATGGTTTTAGGAAATCCATACTCAGAGACCCATCACATTTGAAACTTTTGGATCACTAGTTCGGTTCTTGCATCCGCAGGTAAAGGAATGAAGATAGCATACTTAGAGAATCTATCATGACCATTACTTGACTGTTGCCGTTTCGACTCTTAGTCAGGCTCATGAAGTCAATAGAGATGGACTCACCTGGCTCAGAATAGGCAGCGGTCTCAGTAGTCCCATCGGATTCTCATGTGAGGGCTTGTTTCTCTGACAGACAAGACAAGTCCGCATATATGTTAGTACATCTTCCTTCATTCCTTTCCACTCAAAATGTTTTCGCACATCAGCATACGTGTTCTTGAAACCAAAGTGACCTTCCGCATCATGGCATTCCCCAATAATCAAACTCTTAATTGAATCCAGGTGAGGAATACACAATCGTTCTTCGGTTTTGTCAAGCAATAAGAGTAAGCCATCAGTCATTCAATATTTTGGAAATAACTCAGGGTTCTTTCGTAGAGTTCCAATGATAGGACTCCAAATAGGATCACTCCCATAACCCTGACAGATCTGTTCTTTCAGTTCACTTCCAGTATCGAGATAAGAGACAATAGTTCCAAAGAAATTTGCACGCCTGGACAAAGCGTCTGCAACCACGTTAGACTTACCTTTGATGGTTTTCACCTCAAAATCAAATGTATCAAGGAAAGCGGACCACCTTAATAACTTATCGGAGAGTCTAGGCTGAGTCTTGATCCACTTTAACGTAGAGTGGTCAGAATAGACAGTAAAATGCCTCCCCAACAGGTAGTGTTTCCAAGTTTCTAGTGCAGCTACTAAGGCATACAGTTCCCTTTCATATGTAGAGTTGGCTACCTTTTCGGACGAAAGTCTTCTCAACATAAAGTCAACATGTCTATATCCCTTACCATTATCCTGTTGTAGCACAAGCCCAATCCCATACTGACTAGCGTCAGTCGTAACAATGAAAGGAAGAGAAGGTTCAACAATCTTTAGGACAGGGTAGTGAGTTAGAGTATATTTTAACTTTTTAAAAGATGACTCATAGTCTTTGTCCCACAACATAGGTTTTTCCTTTTTCATTAGTCTTCTCTTAGGAACAACTCTCAAGGAAAAATTTCTGACGAACTTCCTATGATAACTAGAGAGTCCTAGAATAGACCTAAGTTCAGTGACAGTCTTAGGTTGAGGCCAATCTCTGATTGTTGTTATTTTCTTCTCTCCAGGCCTTAATCCTTCTTCATTCAGTATGTGCCCTAGGTAAAATACTCCAGGCTTAGCGAATTCAGACTTCTTCGGATTCAATTTGAAGTTGCCTTCGCGCAACTTCTGAAGAACCATTCGTAGGTGTTTCTCGTGATCCTCCAGTATCTTACTATACACTAGGATATCATCGAGATAGACAATTACGAATTGGTTCAACCACTGACGGAACAATTCATTCATGGACCTTCGAAAGTTTGCAGGGGCGTCAGTCAATCCGAAAGGCATTACCACAAACTCGTAGGGACCATACCTTTCGGAAAACCGTCTTATGTTGATTTTCAGGAGCCACCTCGTACTGGTGGTACCCTGACTTGAGATCAATCTTGCCCTGTAGTTGATCCAGCAAGTCATCAATGCGCGGAAGTGGTTCCGCGTTTTGCACAATGACAAAATTCAACCCACAATAGTCAATGCATAGTCGAAGTTCACCTTCCGTTTTGGGCACAAATAAGACAGGTGCACCATAAGGAGATGAGCTGAGTCAAATCCATCTCTTGTCGGTAAGTTCCTGCAACTGTCTTCGTAATTCCTCAAGTTCCCTGGGAGACATACGGTAAATGGTACCCTTGAGAATCTTACTTCCGGGAATGATCTCAATTGTGTGCTTGATAACACGCTCAGTGATTCCCGTCGGTTCAGACTGCAAATCCTTGTATTCATCAAGAAGTTTTCAATAGAAGGTGGATAGGATGAAGAACACTCACCTACTTGTTTGACAAGCACCATCATCACCTCCTGACCCAACTTTTTCTTTACTACCATTGATCGGAAAGTTGGGTAACTCATACAACAGAAAGACAGAGTAGAGTCAGAGACAAACTTATGATATAACTTTATCGCATGTAGTTCGGACTTCTCGTCCTTGAGTTTGACAATTTTATCTTTGAACTTAACTTCTGGGTCGGCTTCCTCATGCCAATCCATACCCAAAATTAAGTCAAAGGGTAAATTCTTTTCTATAAGGAAGGATACCTCGTGTAGAATCTTCTTACCTTCCTTGGTCCTGAAGTAACACTTAACACTATCGACGTATAGTGATTGTGTTCTTGTCGGCCAATATAGACGTGATAGGTCTAGGTAAATCCTTTACCTTCCCAGATGCAACTTTCGAATTGCCTTCTCTGATATATAAGACCGCGTCGATCCTGGATCTAACAAGGCACCTACTCGAGTGTGCGCAATTTCAACATCCGTGATCATTAACTCACCCTTAGACTTTGCTTTCTTCGCCCACGAACTCCTTAGTGCTATTAGTTCATTGTCGAGCTCGTCAAGGGAATCGTCCAGTGAGACAGAACAAAGGACTGTGTCAGGGTGGTCTGGACGATGGGTGGAAGAAGAGCCATCCTCTGCCTTGACAAGCGTCTTTCCTTTATCTTCGTCTAATCCCTTCAACTCATCAGGAGCAGATGTTACTCCTACTGGTTGCTCGCTTTTGGGTTTCGAATAAGCGGGCACCAGGCTATCACGTGCCCCTCGGTACCACACTTAAGGCACTGGCGATTGTCCATCTTGGACTGCCATTCCTCTCGGGTCATATTCATTTTCTCCCAAGACCTCCCGAACGCAATGCCAGGATGCTCAGGAAATGAGCGTGGTCTCTTCTTCTTCTTCTTCCACTGGTTCTGGCCTCCCTTGTTGGCCATGACAACAGTTACGTCACCCTTCTCGGACTCACTGCTGTCGTTACCTCCTGCTCCCTCTGGCTCTTCCAGAGGTAACTTCTCTACAGTCTCATCGTCAAATAACACAAGCATATGATCTTGGCGCTTTTGCCGCCAAATGACCCGCTTGCCATAACCTCCTAACGATCCCGACTTAA